ACCATTCTTTCGTAATTTTTTTTTCCTCCTATCACCTCTATACTTCTGTGTGTCTTTATCTCAATCCTTTCTCTCCCTTTCTCTCTCTCTCTCTCTCTCTCTCTCTCTCTCTCTCTCTCCCTCGCTCCCTCTCTCTCTGTCCTTCCCTCCTTCTCCCTCTATTTCCATCTTTCCCAAACTTCCTTCTGTTTTCTTTCTAACTTTCTTTTCTCCCTCGTAATATTTTTCCTCTCACTTTATCTACACACTTTCTTCTTTTTTAAATGCTCTCAATCATTCTTTCTCTCTCTCTCTTTGTAATTACATCACAACTTTGCCTTACCCCACTACTTCTTCTCTTTTCTTTTCTTTGAGATATTAAAGCTCTCGCATTGAACTTGAAATTGATTGTTAAACGTTCTTTGACCAGTATATCCAGTTTATTGTGGACAAGTAGATTGGTTTTAAAATTTAGATACAAATTGTAAATTAAATGATATTTGTAAATTAAACAATATATTTTATTATACATTTTGATTATAACTTTGCCAACATAAATGTGTACACCAAGACATTTTATCCTTTAGTTTTTCATCTTAAGGTTGTTTCTCTACATTAGATGTACAATTTCATACTTATGAAGAGGAGTAACTATTTTCTTTTCACGTCTTTTTTATACAAAAAAATTACCAAAAAATAAATAACAAATAAAAATTAAATACTTCATCATATTTCTCGTTTCACAACTTAAATCTGATGGTTATTTAACAATTTCATAGATAATTGTGGCTAATCTTAATCTGTACAATTACAATCAGCATCCGGTTATTCTTTGTAAATAAATAATTCAACAGACTCAACGCATTTAAGTAGATTGTTAACAAGAATTACCAGGAGAATAACAACCGGTGATCTAATCTTAATAGTTGAGACCTAAATAATAAACAATGATAACGATTCTTCAAATCCTTTTGCTAATTTGGAATAACTCTATTTAAAACCTTCAACCGTTGCGTGATTCATCGGGCTGGACCCGGAACGGACAAAAATATAGTAAGTTTTCTACTATAAATCAATAGATTTTTTTTTTCATAAATATATGACGAATTTGACATATTTTTACAATTTTGTTGGAAAAGTTTGCTTTATACGGCAGAAATTTTTTAGAAATTTAGTACACTTTTTCTGCAATGAAAAGCAGCGAATAGATAATACAGCATAAATTTTATAAACGCGTTCTAAATAATAGCATATCGAGAAAAGTAATAAAAATCGAAAAAGTGATAAATAACATTCGAAGGATATGTTTATTCTAATGAAACATAGATACATTGAAGGAAAGGATGAAAAAGAAGAAGGGAAGAATCGGGACTGATTGACTGTTTGATTAAACATTTAAAGTTGGTCACGTGGATCTCTCTTCCACTTAATTTAAGTTATATATTTTCCTTTATACATACTATTTATGCAGACTCTTTTGGTCTTCACAATTTGGAGAGAGGTAGATTGAGAGAAAGAGAGAAGAGAGCGAGAAAGTCAGTGAAAGAGGGAAATGGTGAGAGAGGAGTGGAAGAGAAAGGAGTGAAAAGGTTTTAATAAAAAGAAAAGGTAAGAACAAAAAATTGGTTTTAAGAGATGAAAGTATGGAAGTGAAAAGATTGTCAAAGACAAAGAGTGAGAGAAAGATTGCAAATGAGACAAAAAGAAAGAGAGAGTGAGAGAGAGTCAGTGAAAGAGCGAAATGATGAGAAAGGAGTGAAAAGGTTTTAAAAAAAGATAAGAGAAGTACAAAAAATTGGTTTTGAGAGATGAACGTATGGGAGTGAAAAGATTGTCAAAGACAAAGAGTGAGAGGAAGATTGCAAATGAGAGAAATAGAGAGAGAGAGAGAGGGAGAGAGAGAGAGAGGGTGAGAGGGAGAGGGAGAGAGAGAGTCAGAAAAAGAGGGAAATGGTGAGGTAGAAGTGGAAAAGAAAGGAGTGAAAAGGTTTTAATAAAAAGAAAAGGTAAGAACAAAAAATTGGTTTTGAGAGATGAACGTATGGAAGTGAAAAGATTGTCAAAGACAAAGAGTGAGAGAAAGATTGCAAATGAGACAAAGAGAAAGAGAGAGTGAGAGAGAGAGAGTCAGTGAAAGAGCGAAATGATGAGAAAGGAGTGAAAGGTTTTAAAAAAAGATAAGAGAAGTACAAAAAATTGGTTATGAGAGATGAACGTATGGGAGTGAAAAGATTGTTAAAGACAAAGAGTAAGAGAAAGATTGCAAATGAGAGAAATAGAGAGAGAGAGAGGGAGAGAGAGAGAGAGGGTGAGAGGGAGAGGGAGAGAGAGTCAGAAAAAGAGGGAAATGGTGAGGTAGAAGTGGAAGAGAAAGGAGTGAAAAGGTTTTTAAAAAAAGAAAAGATAAGTACAAAAAATTGGTTTTGAGAGATGAAAATGCGGAAGTGAAAAGTTTTTCAAAGACAAAGAGTGAGAGAAAGATTGCAAATGAGAAAAAGAGAAAGAGAGAGTGGGACAGAGAGTCAGAAAAAGAAGGAAATGGTAAGAGAGGAGTGGAAGAGAAATGAGTGAAAAAGTTTTAAAAAAATAAAAGAGAAGAACAAAAAATTTGATTAGACTGTCAAAGACAAAAAGTTAGAGAGAGATTGCAAATGAGACAAAGAGAAAGAGAGAGAGAGAGAGAGAGAGAGAGAGAGAGTGAGAGACAGACAGACAGACATACAGAGAAAAATGAAATGGCAGCAATAAAACTGAAACTATAAGAAAAATGATGGATGTAAAAAGAGAGAGAGATTTGATTTGATAAACGATTTATTTTTACAGATCACGCAGAGTTAGGTAAATTTGACCTTTCTTACACTCAACGAAAAACGGACGTTTCACAATTTGAACTTACATACGAGAGTGAAAGTGAGAGAGAGAGAGAGAGAGAGAGAGAGAGAGAGAGAGAGAGAGAGAGGGACAGATTAATGTTTTATTTAAAGTCGCAAAGAACAACATTTTACAATAATCATTATAAAATCTATAATACAATGTTGTTTGTTAAAATTATAACTACGAGGTTTACAGACATGCTTAATCTAATTAACAATAATATCGCTACTGCTTTCAGAAAGAAAAAATAACGTAATAAGTGGTAGTGTAATAGACAAAATAGGTAATATTTTGCATATATATATTTTTAAAATATTTTTATTTTATTTTAATTATTTTTATAATGTTATTAAAAATGATTATGGCTATATTATGTTATTCATATTTCGGTAAGATTTTTAAAATATTTTTAGTGCTTTTATTTTCAGGAGTTAAATTATTATATAGTATAAAAATGATTTGACATATGCTTCAGTTTGGTTGCGATGAACACTAAGGGCCCGTTGCACCAACTTCGTTTAACCTTGGTTCAGTACTGAACGGAGTTCAACACAAATATCGGCGTTTTTCAATCTCTATTGATCCGAGATCAAGTGATGAACGTCGAGCAATTCTGAACGGTCGTCGAGCTCGGGTTAAACAGGGTTCAGAGCTGAACAACGTTCATTTAATAATATAACCTGCGCGTTGTTTAACCGTATATTGAGACATCGAAATGGACGCATTTTTATCTAGTTATTTATTAGAGGAATTAACAGACGATGAAGATTTCCTTGAGCTAGTAGCTCTACATATAAACAAAGAAAGGGTTTTTAGAACCAGAAGGGAACATTTTCACGAATGGGATAATGATGAATTCTTCAACAGATTCAGAATGACAAAGCATGCAGTGAACTTCGTATTAGAGAAAATACGAAATTCAATCACTCATCGAACTACCAGGTAAGTGATATTAATTAGTTAGCTTTGAATAGCAATGGTTTTTTTTTTTTTTTTTACTTGATTGATAATGTTTTCAGAAATCAGGCTACCTCCCCCGAACTGATGTTACTAACTACACTTCGATTTTATGCAACAGGATCGTTTTTGACAGTTTGTGGTGATTTCAGTGGGTTGCATAAATCTACTGTATGTAGAATGGTGCGCAGAGTTTCTCGAGCTCTTGCATCATTGAGGCGAGAATTTATTCATTTTCCAAAAAACGAAGCTGGAAGAATGGCTGTCTGTGCTGAAATGTACAAAATCAGCAAATTTCCAAAGTGCATAGGTGCTATTGATTGCACTCATGTTCGTTTACAATCTCCAGGTATAAAATAAATTGCAAATATCTTTTTTCCATTTCTAGTTTTTCTGTTTAATTTTTAGGTGGTAATCAAGCAGAGCTGTTTCGCAACAGGAAAGGATTCTTTTCATTGAATGTACAGACAGTTTGCGATGCAGAGCTGAAGTTCGAAAACATTGTTGCCAGGTGGCCCGGTAGCACACACGATGCCCACATTTTTAGAAATTCAATCTTAAAAACACAATTTGAAAATGGAGATATGAATGATCTTGTTTTGGTTGGTGACAGTGGGTATCCTCTAAAAAAATACTTGCTAACAAAATTAAATCACCCAACCACAAGAGGGGAAATACTCTACAATGAGTCCTTAATTAGGACAAGAAACGTTGTCGAGAGATCATATGGTGTTTGGAAACGTCGCTTTCCTATACTTGCTATTGGAATGAGGTGCAACTTTAATTTGGTTGAGCCAATTGTGGTAGCAACTGCAGTATTGCACAATATATCATGCATTTTTAAAGATCCAATTCCATTCATCAATGATGAAGTGGAAACCCAAATTATTAACCTTCAGTTCAATCAAATTGGAGAAGTGGAATATGATGGGAATGCAAGAATTCCATTTATCGAATATTTTGATACCTTATAGACCACACCATCGAACGTATAGAAGTTATGTAAAGAAGTAGTACAAAAATGTATATAAATATTTATATTGACATATATGTACATATAATAAAAGATAATAATTTAGTGTAAAGGAAATAATAAAAATGTAATGTAAATTAAAATAATCTAATCTTAAGAAATACTACTTTTAATAAAAATATAATTGATATGTAAACTAAAATAATGCAATAATCAAATAAAATAAATTTTAAAAATGCAACAATTGTTTTTATTCTATTTTCTTTTTTGATTTTAAAATTTCATTTTCTTGTTCAAGGGCTTGTAGTCGTCTCTCATGCTCTATTTTTAAGTGAAGCATCCTTAAATTGTGTTCTTCCAAAATGCATTTCATTTTTAAGTCGGTTTTTTTCTTGTGGCATTCTATTTTATTGTCCAGTTCTTCCAGCTTTTTGTTGAGCAAGGTGTCGTGACCTTGTTGCTGAAGTCCAGCTAACTCGGTTTTCATAATAGCCCACTTTGATATCTTATCCCGCAAAGGGGCTTTCTTGTATTCTGTAAAAAATAAAATAAAATAAATAGATATCAAAAAACACAAACTATAATATCTAATTGAGAATTTGTTTATGAGCTTTCATTGCAATTACCTTAACTGTATCAGTAATAAAAAATTAAGATAAATATAAATCCTTTCCTTACCTTTCCTCAGAGGTGCGGAGACAGGCGTTCTTAATAATCGTGGATTGTAATCTGCCCATGAGCACGATGGCTCTGACAAAGCGGCAGTGGTTTCTGCTTCGTTTATGGGCTCATCTAGCGCTATTAGTTCATCTTCTTTCTGAAAAAGAACACCATTATTGCGAAGGTTAAAATAAATATCTATTTATAAAATACTTACATCTGGGCTCACAATATTGCAATTGTTGTCGACCTCAATCTGAACCACTTCCACGTTCATGCTTTCATTTTCTGGAATATTAATTTAAAATAAATATTAATATAAGATTTCAGAATACAATAAAAAAAGGGTTAAAAGTGAAATATGAATAACTTACCTGGTTTATCATCATCGTACTGGCTTTGAAAACCAGTTAACTGGGTACCCAGTATATCCATTAAAACTTTGTCCTGACTGTCGTCAGCTGGAAGTGGTGGCCCACCTCCAGTTTTTTTAATATGGGCACTTTTTTCGGAGAGTTTTTTTTTTCCTCTTTTCTTAATATTTTCGTATTTTCCTTTCAAAACGGCACTGCTTCTCGCAGTAACCCCATGAGAGTTATATTCCGCCGTAATCTGTTGCCAACAGTCTGCCTTTTGTTTGGCACTTACGGCGTCTGTCTTTTTGTTTTCCACAATGAGGACATATTTCCGAACTAGGCCTAATAAAATATTCTCCTCAGTTTTTGTGAAATTAGCCGCCCGTTTTTTGTCCGACATATTTTTTAATAATAAATGAAATAACACAAACAACGAAACAATGGATATAGATAAAAACTACAAACTAAAACTAATTGAAAGACTCTAAAAACTACTTAAACTGAATAAAATACAATAAAAACTACTTACTAAAACTAATTAAAGACTATAAAAACTATAAACTTACTACCTAGTGGTTCAATAAACAATGAAATAGCTAAAAATAAAATACAAAATAAAAGCAACAAAATTAAAGTGGTTAAACAAATAAAGAATATAGATTGAAAAAATAAAAAACAGTAAAAAAAACAATGAAATCAACACAAAAAGACTAGGGAAAGCGGTACAGCAAACAATATAAACAATGAAAAACTACGACGTATAGCTATAACCGTACAAAAAGGCTATAATCAGTTGTACCAACGACTGGTTGAACAGCGATCAGCTGAACGGCGGTCCCCTGCACATGGTGCAACGCTCCCTTCGCTGAACTTCGTTCAAATTGTGAACGACGTTCCAGTGAACCCGGCTTGAACCGTGACTGGTGCAACGGGGCCTAAGTCGAGCATAATTATTTCAAAGTTCAGCATTAAATGTTTTGTAAATTGCATATAACTGAGTACGTACCATCCATTTTTAGATTTTATGTGAATCAAAACGTCATATATTTTGCAGTTTTTGTAAGTTTTTTCCGAGTGGTGGTAATGCCAGACATGATTGGTAAAAAAAATGTAATATGCAATTATTAGAGCATCATAAAAGTTTTTTCATATTTTTATCTTTATGCGTTAAAATGTTATTAATAAGACAAATTATAGTTTATTTTCTTCCTTAATATTAATACAAGTTATTTCCATTGTAAATTGTTACGTTGCGCTCGTAACATTTCAATTTTTCTGTTGTAAGTTTAATACGTTTAATTTTTATTTTTACCAACTCTTGAAGATTGATTTTATTGATCAACTGAAAATGTACGAAAATAGTACAACCATTTTTAGGTGGATTCATTTTAAACGAAATTTCTCACAAAAAAATTATTACATTTTGTTAGACAAATTTGATTTGATTACATTTTTTCTGAAAATTCCGTGATTTTACTCTTAATAAGTAAGCATAAGCCGGGTTCGTTTTGCCGTGGCGCACCGGTACCGTCTCGGACTCGAGGGCTGAAAGGTCCCAGGTTCGATCCTGTTCACGGTCAAATAACTTTCTCGCTTTTGATGTCACAACCAAATGATGTCAAACAAGCATAAGCCGTCAAGAATACAGCCCAAAATGAGAGAATTTGATACTTTTGTAAATGAGAGAGAGAGAGAGAGAGAGAGAGAGAGAGAGAGAGAGAGAGAGACAGACAGACAGACAGACAGAGGAGAGAGAGAGGGAATAATAATGTGGGCAATGTGCACACATTGTGTTCTTTGTAATACGTGAGTCCAGAAATTTTTGAAAAAGTGTTCATTTAATTTTACGTTAGTGAGTAAATTGATTAACATATTTAAATCTACAATTTACCTAGATTACAATTTACCTACCTACAAAAATCTAGATTTACTACTAAAGTTGTCTTAAGTTATGTTATCTGATAATTTCATAACAACTAATTGAACGTTGGGATCATTTTTAGTACCATACTAGTTTTTATGTATAATTCGTAAGAATTTATAAGACAGGAGGGAGAATTAATATTGTAAAGAGAAGGGCAAAAAAATTCGTTTATGGAGATGAACTATTGATAAGAAAAAAGTGGAGAGAAAATAATGCAATATGCAAAGAAAAAAGGGAAGACTGAATTTTATAGTTGGTTGTTTATCTGGTCATTTTTAGCAGTTCTATTCTCTGAAACAGCCCATGTTTAAGAAATCTGTACTGGTTTGGAACTAGTGTTCAAATTCTAAAATTTACTAGGACTGTTCTGTTTGTTTTTTAAAATTCGTAATTTGACGGACAAGAAATTTGACAACTGACTCACCCTTGACAAGCCCTGGGTGTATGTTGGGAGGGTGGTTACTGATGGCACTAATTCCGCCCTCGGGGAGATACAAGATCGACTGGTTTGAAACAAATGCGGGCCGATTAGTCACCCTTGTCTAACTCCCGTTCTAATTTGGTCGCTACTTCCTTGGCCGGGCTGCAAATGTCGCCGGTGTCAAACGGATCGGGATTGGTAAGGGGGTGAATATCCAATTTGTAATCCCTGCCCTCAATTGAGCGTCGTGTCAATTTTTAAATATTTATCTATTATTTAGTGAGAAATTTTGACCGTTCAGTTAAATGTGTCTATTCAGAAATTATATAATCATGACTATTGGGAGAAAACGGTAAAAATAGACACAACACGAAAAACTTATCCCTCAACCTCTCCATATCTTTGTATTTTTGTTAATCTATCCCTTCCTCAATCTCTTTATCTCACCAATATTTGTTTTCTTCTTCTTGATTTTTCTATTCTAAGTGCTGACTTTTCTTTTTCGTCTAACTGTTTCTCTCTCTCCCTCCCTCCCTTTCTCTCTCGTCCTCTGTCTTTTTTTCATTTTTCCACATTTCTTTCACTTTTTCCTATACCAACGATTTCGCTATCTCTTCATCTTTATCTACCATTTCTATCTTTTTTTAATCCCTACTCTTCATCTTTCTTTTCAAATGGTTAATTTATCTTTATATTTCTAATCCTTTCCGTCCTACATCAAGTTTTTATCCTTTTTTCTACTTTTGTCTTATCAACATATTTTTAAATCCACCGCTCATTTTCTCTGTTTCTTCCATCGGCCTTTAACTAAGTCTATCTCTTGCTGTTGAAATCTCTTGTCCTCTCCTTCCTTTTCTCACTTTTACTTTTCCTTTACTTTCCTCTGTCGATGTGTTGTCATTCTTTATGTCTTTTTTATCTAACTTTTTCAAAACACTCCCTCTTTCCGATCTTTCTTGTCCCTTTCTGTTTCTTTTTTAATATTTTCTCCTCTTCTACCGTATTTTAATCATTATTCTCTGCCACCAAATTTTGGTCATTTTCGTTGCATTGTTATTTCTCCTTACTTTTTTCACTCTCACCCACTTTTCACTTCACTCTCTTTCACTCTTTGACCTGTCTTTTCGTTGTCACTTTTTTACTCTATCTTTATCTATTCATGTATTTATATATCTTTCCCTCTGTCTCTCTTATCACGGATTTCAATCTCAATCATTCTCTCTCCCACCCACTATTTCTCTCTCTCTTTTTCCATTTCACTAGTTGGCTTTATTTTTCAATCTATTTTCCTCTCGTTATTTTTCTCTCTCATTCTTCCCCCCGCCAAATTTTTGTCGCCGTCTTTCCATTTTTTACCTTAATTTTTCTCTTCCTTTAATATCGTTCTTCCATTCTCTCTCTCTCTCTCTCTCTCTCTCTCTCTCTCTCTCTCTCTCTCGCTCTCTCACTCTCTGTCTCTCTATCACTCACTTTTTTTTTCAATGTTCATTCTTCTTTTTTTGCCTCACGTTTTGTATATAATATTTTGGCTTTTTTTTTAAATATTTTTATCTTCATTATTCTTTTCTTTTAATCCCCCCCCCTCTCTCTCTCTCTCTCTCTCTCTCTCTCTCTCTCTCTCTCTCTATCTCTCACTCTTTTTTTTATTTTTCAATGTTCATTCTTCTTTTTTTTTGCCTCACGGTTTGTATATAATATTTTGTTTTTTTTTTTAAATATTTTTATCTTCATTATTCTTTTCTTTTAATCCCTCCCTCTCTCTCTCTCTCTCTCTCTCTCTCTCTCTCTTCCCTCACCTTTTGCCCTATTTTTTCTTTGTCACTTTTTTTGTTACTCCCCACCAACTTATTACCTTCTCTCTGCTATCCTCACAACTATTTTCCGCATTCTCTTTCTTATCATTTCCCTTTCATCTTTATCTTTCAATTTTTCATGTTTTAACTCTATTCTACTCTTTTTTTAATCATGATCTCTCTCTGTATAGTTATCTATTTTTCTATGTATCTATTTATATATCCAAATTTCTCTCTCTCTCTCTCCCTCGCTCTCACGTATCATGGATCTCACTCACTCAATATTTGCCTCTCCCTTTCTTCATTTCACCAGTTCTCTATTTTTCAATTTATTATTTCACTCATTCTTCCCGGCGCATATTTTTTGTCCTTGTCTTTTCAGTTTTTTAAATTGTTATTCTCTCTCTCTCTCTCTCTCTCTCTCTCTCATTTACATACTCTCTCCCTCACTTTCTCACTATTCCTTTCCCCCCCCTCTCTCTCTCTATCACTATCTCTCTTTCTTTTTCTTTCACCCATTCTCTCTATCAATCTCTTTCCCTTTCTCTCTTCCCTATTTCTTATTTTCTTATCTTTAGCTTTATTTTCATTTTATTTTTTTTTCGTTATTTTTTCACTTTTTCTTCCCCACACCTAATTTTTTGTCCATCTTTTCATTTTTTATCTTCTTTCATATCTCTGACTGTCTGTCTGTCTGTCCGTTTGTCTCTCTCTCTCTCTCTCTCTCTCTTTCTCTATCTCCCTCTATCACTCACTCTTTCTTTTCTTTTTCAATGTTCATTCTTCTTTTTTTGGCCCCACTGTTTTTGTATTTTCTTTTCATTTTTTTAATATTTTCATTTTCATTTTTCTCTTCCTTCTCTCTCTCTTTCTCTCTCTCTCTCACTCGTTCTCTCTTTCTCTCTCTCTCATTCTCTCCCCCACTAATTCGATTTCTATATTCCCACACTATTTTTCGAACTCCCCCCCTAAATTTTGTTCTTGTCTTCTCATTGCTTAACGTTTTTATCTTCATTATTCTCTTCTTTTAAACTGTCTCTCTTAATTCTTTTCTATCTATCTATCTATTTACTCATATATTTATCTATCTCATCACGTTTTTCTAAATTTTTTTCAACCACATTCATTTGTTTTCTCTCTCACTCTCTCTCTCTCTCTCTCTCTCTCTATCTATCTATCTATCTATCTATCTATCTACCTATCTATCTATCTACCTATCTGTCTGTCTGTCTGTCTATCTATCTTTCTATCCATCTATCTCTTTATCTCTTCTACTTCTTCTTTTCCTCCACATTGTACTCTAACCTATTACACCTTTCTTTAATATTAGTTTTCATATTATGATGACAAGAGTGGAATTGAATGTTTTATAC